GACCCCTAGGGGCCTGGGTCTGGCACCCCTGGTCTGCCTTGTGCTGACATCTGTGGTGGATTTTGCCTCTCCCTCTGCCTTCCCTCCTGGGTTGGCATCAAGGCCTTACTGAGCACTTGGCCTCCTATTTCACCTTTGCCTCAGGACTACCTGTATTTCTTGAAATAATCTCAGCTCTGCTCTTTGAAGCCCACTGGCAGCCCCACCCCACTCCTCACACTGGTATATAGTCTCAGGAACCCAGCCCAGGTCCTGCAGAGACCCAGCTTCTGGGCTTTGCTGATAATAAATTGAGAGACGAGACAAAGGAGCCCAGTAAGCACCAGCCCAGAGATGTGCAGGGCTGGGCCAGCAGGAAGGACTGTAAGGAACTGGAGCAGGGCTGGAACCCAGGGCTCAAGAGGATGGAGTGAGCCTGGTCTGAGATGACCCCAATGGAGGCCACAGCATAAAGGCCAAGGAGCAGGTTGGGGGGAGAGGAGAGGAGGTAACAGAGAGCACAGGAAGACAAACTAGTCCCAAACCAGAAAACTCTTCCTACAAGCCTGAGGTGAAGATTGGTGTGACACTGGGGAATACGTTAATTGGCTCCAGGCAACAAAATTATGCAGCTCTCTCCAGCACACAACATGTATAATCAATATTATCATCAATCATAAGGAAGTTCATATCTCAACTAAACAGTTTAGTCCCCATATTATACCCTATATTCAATTGCTTTTTCTTTCTTTGAAAATTGAGACTTCCTTGGAAAATCCATGTTGGGGGTTGTAGTGGCAGAATACAAACCATAGCATAAGAAGCCTGCATTTGAATGGCGTAACAGACATCTGGTACTTATCCAATGAGTAGAGAGCACAGAGGCAAATCAGTCATGGACTACGTGTGATTCCCAATTCACTGAAGAGCTGAATGCACATGTAGCAGCCAACTTGATTGAGCACGTACGATGTATCTGGTGCTCAGCTGAGTGCTGGGTGTACAAATAACGATGACATGCCTTCTACCCTCCAGAAGGTCCCCGTGCAGCAATAGAGTCACAGCCTAAATAATTCCAATACAAAATCAATGGTGACCAATAACAGAGTTTCAAAGAGCTAAGGGAGTGTGGTGAAGGGCAAGGCTAATTTCAAATAGATTGATTGCTAAAAGTCTCTGGTTTTCTCTGTGATTTGGTCTCCCATATCCTGACCATCTGAAATGGAGACACGTAAAATGAAGTCTTTCGTGTGATATGCTATAGTCATTCATTTCACCATACAGTGTAAGTGCCGCTTGGGATCCTATGAGAGCACTGTACATTGAATTTGTTTTAAATAAGCGCAGTGAGGGAGGCTCAGAGAAATGAGATGTCAAACAGCTCTGAAGGTAGAGGAAATATAGGAGTTTAACTAGTTGCATTTGAATAAAAGAGATTGTAAGAGATTTTATATCTTTTAATCGTAAGATATAAAAATAGTGTTTCTTTTTTACGTATTAGATAAAAAGGTTATAGAATCTATTTTAAGCAGAAATTTCCAAATGACATATCAACTGACAATTCAATCAGGATTATAAAGATTATTTCTAAGGAATAGATATTATATCACCTTTGTGCTTTTTGTAAATAATGTACAAGTATTTGTTTTAGTGTTATGGTTATGCATGGAATTTTGCTGCACCAGTTTCTAGCCAGACATGGAAATCACCTCCCTCAAGATGGGCAGAAGATGGTTTAAGTACAATAGGAGAGAAGAACTTTGTAGGTTGGACGTTGGCTCATTGTCAAACACTTACATAATTACAACTAACTGTGCAGTGACCAACACACAAGGTTACTGTGTTTTTTATTTTTAAACAGTGAAACATGCACAGTATAGGAGATCTTGTGTTTGGGGGGAAAACGGAGGAAAGGGAAACCCTCCTCTCCTCCAGAGGGGAAAACCAAAGGTACTCTTGTGATGTGTTTCATTTAGGAATAGTCAATTAAAAGTGGAAACCCAACCCCAAGGGCTTATAGGACATGGTTAGCCATTGAAAAAGAGACATGCACACACCTCAACCTGTTTAAAAATATATATTGAGCCTTGTGGTATATATACACAATGGAATACTACTCAGCCATAAGAAACGATGAAATCCAGCCATTTGTGACAACATGGATGGACATTGAGGGTATAATGCAAAGTGAAATAAGTCAGAGGGAGAAGGTCAAATACCGTATGATTTCCTTCATTAAGTAGTAGATAATAACAACAATAAACAAACACATAGGGACAGAGATTGGATTGGTGGTTACCAGAGGGGAAGGGGGGAGGGAGGAGGGTGAAAGGGATAATTCGGTACATGTGTGTGGTGATGGGTTGTAATTAGTATTTTGGTGGTGAACATGATGTAGTCCATGCAGAAATAGAAGTACAATGATGTACACCTGAAATTTTTACAATGTTATAAACCAACGTTACCGCAATAAACAAAAAATTAAAAAAAAAAAAACAAATAAAAAAAATATATATATATATTGAGCCTCATCATACCTGCAGACACTGTAGTAAATCACTTCTCCCCTCTGGATTGTAGGGGTGTGTGTGTGTGTGTGTGTGTGTGTGTGTGTGTCCCAGTCACTGCCTCTTCCATCCTGGGACCTTAACTTATCAGTCTTTCTCATTTCTCAATATCTCACACATTTTAATATAGTAGCCAGTTAATAACTTTTTTTTTAATTTTGGAAGAGACTAGACTAGAATTGAACAGAAACTAGAATAAAGAGAAGTGCTCAGATTAGTATTGACATCTTATAATGTTGACAGAGCTGTTAATTCCTGATCTTTCCATTGGTTGGTCCTGCCCATTCATTGATCACCAATGAAAATGGGGCAGATCATTATGAAGTTTCTTTGTGCATCAGGAGGCAGCCCGCCCCCATCATAAAGCTACTCAAAGGAAAGACTGAGCATTCATCACTAAGTGAAGAGTGTAGAGGATATCTCATACTAAGGTGTACATGAACTATCCTTAAGGCTCTTTCAAGTCTGAATTCCTTCATTCTTTCTTTGGAAACACAACCTCATCAAAGTACAAAGAGGCAAGATGTACACAATCACACATTGCACTCAGCATTCTCCTGGCCAAAGAGATCTGATTGGAATTTTTGACAAACCTATTACTCTAAAGCTCAAAGCTCGACCTGGTGAAAATCGTTTCAAGAAGTGGTCTAAAAATGCTCTCTTACAAAGGCCACGCTTCTAGTGTAGAGTCAGACCAGTATGCCTCTCACCACTCTTTCCCTAGCAGAAAGTTAGTTCTTCTTCCCTCCCAGGGATCCTGTCAGAAACGAGGGTTGGCCACTCTAAGGCAGAATCTATAGCACTTTACATTAAAATGCTGTCAATATTTGCCCAGTTATATTGTCTAAGGAACTGAAGAATTTTGTTTATATTTTAAGATCAGCAAATGCCAAAAATACTAATTTGAATTGAATAACCTTTCTCAATGTCACATTAAAATGCTGATAGATCCTATTTAAACACATTCCACAGAACTTTTTAGATATCAAAAAAAATTTTATGTTCAGTAGCAATTTAGCATTAGGCCAATTTTATTCTAATTCCTAAAAAAAAAAAATAGTCTATCCATATTATACATCAAGCCCTTGTTTTCCTCTCCTTCACAGACTTGGGTTTTGTTCCAGCTTCTCTGCTTACTGCCCATGTGGCTGTGGACAACCTCTCTGAGCCTGTTTTCTCATCTGTAAAATAGAATGAAGTGTAACAGTGAAGGATGTTGTGAAAATGAAATGAGAATACCTCTGTCAATTACAGTGCGGGCATGGAGATTCATTCTATTCAACTTCTCCTGTAGGCTCTGTCCGGGGCCACAGATTCTTGGGATCTGCCACGTGGCTGCCCCCAGCAGTCAGCAAAGACTGCTACCCTCCCTACCCAAACCCTTCCTCTAGAGCTAGATCCAGAGCACAATTCTCAACATCAGCACCATCAAATATGCAAATTATCTGACTCCACCAGAGACCCCAGGGTGGGGCCCTACCTGAACATGCCTGCCAGGTAATTCTGATGCTAGCCAAGGTGTGAGAGCCATTGGGCTACCTAGATTATTCTCTCTTTCCATCCCTCTTCCCCACTGTTTCTAAATTCTTTCAGTCCCTTTGTACCTTCCATGAACTCACCTCCTCCAGCATCCCTCCAAAAGCCTGTGTTGCCCGTGAGTCAGTCACTGCAGAAATTCTCTCCTGGAACCAAATCCTAGCCATGGTTAGGAAGGACACACTCTCAGGTGATAGAGTAACTAAAAAGATCCCAAAGATTAACCTTCAACTAGGATTATCTCTCGTCTTTGGTAGATCTGGAAGATCTCTTTATTTCCCAGCTGTGCATTCCATTACAAGAGGCCCCTTCTGCTGGTGTTAGGTCAGCACATGCCAGTACAGGAGGGTCTTGGGCAATTCCTGCCCATAAAAGGTATCATGGGCATCCTAATGGCTAAATCTTCAAAGAAATTCCTAACTATGTTCTTAGAATAAATTTCTAGAAGTTTACTTCTGACTGAGCCAAAGTAGTTATATTTCTGAAGCAGGTGAAATTAGATCTCTAAAATATTTCAGTAAGTTGGAAGCTCTGTCTTTGAAAAATGTTTCAAACTTCTCAAAGAAGAAGAATCCTTTGAATCAAAGAGATTCCAATTCCCTCGTCGATTGTCAATGAAGTAAACTTTGAAGACTTTTGGAAAGTCACTCATTCTCAGCCGTCATGGGATCATCACAGATCACCTGTTCGGAATTCTGCATTCTCCACTTCTGGAGTTGGGTTACAGAAATCTGTGACTTACCCAATGCTAGGATGCATTTGTTGGAGCCATCCGTACTCAATAGAGCTATATTCTTGGTAAACAATCTGAAAAGGCAAGCAGATGTTTTCTTTAAAACTATGAGAGGAGGTTGGCGTGGAAGAACGTTCTTTGGGTGACCACGGTGAAGGTTGCTGACGGGTCCTTTTGCTTTGCAGGAATGTTAGTTCGGCGGGAGAGGAGGCCCGCAGGAGGATGCGGGAATGCGATGGGCTCACCGATGCGCTGCTCTACGTGATCCAGTCTGCGCTGGGGAGTAGTGAGATCGATAGCAAGGTTTGTTGTATTTGCGTAGATTAAGCATGTTAGAGAATAAAGACACGCAAGGGACTGAACAGTGGCTAACGACGATGGGGAGCTAATACGAAGTTTAATACTTTCACTCTGAAGTCTATGTTGGTTTCCTTGTATGAATCCAGCGTTTTCTAGAGAGGGCTTCTAATCCTAGCGTAGAACTAGACACCTAAGTCTTGATTAGTAATGAGTAAAAATTTAGATTTTTAAGTTACTCAAACCACAGGTGTTCCAGATAAGTGTGTAAATTTTGGCATATCACATTACCCACAAGCTTCTGGTTTTATTTTATAAAATCCACTTGCAAAAGAAAAAAAAGTGTTAAAACTACCTGAGATTTGAATAATCCTATATTCTTACAAGTTAGCTTTTCAACAACTGTTAATTGTATCAAATGCCATTTAAAAAAATGCCCGATGAAGTCTAATTAAATGCTGTCAAAATGCTAAATAAATGAGGCTGTCAACACATTAATCATCAGTGTCTAGTCCGTGTTTTAGTTCACAGACAAAAATAGAATTGGGTGGGCTTTTCCAGTGTTTGACCTATTTTGTTTCATCTTAATTTGTCTTTTGACTAGTTTTGATTCACTCTAAATATAAATTCATAAGGTAATTTCATAATTTCTTGATATAAATGCAGACTTTACTGATGCTTTTAAAGTAATACGTGTGATAAATATGATACCTTCATAAGGGTTTCTCAAGAGCCACACTATTGACATTTTGAGCCAATTAATTTTTTGTTGTGGGGCTGTCCTGTGCATTGTAGGATGTTAAGCAGCATCCCTGGCCTTTACTCACCAGATGCCAGTAGCATCCCACCCACACACTAGTCATTACAAACAGAAATGTCTCCAGACATTGCCAAACTTGTTCCCACAGGGAGCAAAATTGGCCCTGGTTGTGAACCACAACCTTAATCCCATGGTTTTCAACACTGACTCTCCTTCAGAATTGCCTTTGGAGCATTTAATAAACACATATGACTAGACCCCAACATCACCCTCTGAAGCTGAATGTCTAACTTTGGTCTTTGTTTTTTGTAGCCTTAAAAATTCATCAGGTGAGCCCACCTTAGTACATACGGCTTTGAAATGGACTCTAATCAGGAATATGGTATAGTGTAATTTAGTCATCAAGTCAGATAAAGAACAAATATGAGTGATTTTATCCATTTAGTTACTAATTGGCATGGGGGGTGATTTAGCATAGAGCTTCTCAGCCTTGACCACACATGAGAGTGACTGAGAAATTGAGAAAATTACTGATGCCTGAGCCCTACTCACTAAAGTCATGGATCCATGATATCTTCTGGGACTTCAGCCCTTTGAGTACTACTTGACTCCAGTTATAAACACTGTTTGTCACCTTATCACTGCCACTCAGTTGTGTTTGCATCCATTCATTTACTATGTGGTGTTATCAATTTCAAAGATGGACTATGGTGTAATCAAGATTTAATCATCCCCTCTTGTAAATGCCCTTGACAGCCATTTTAGACCTTTTAATATCATTGACAGGAAAATTACATCCCTAAAGAAGTGACCAGTCAAGATGTCTTGAGTATTTACAGATGCCTGTTAACATAATAGACACATGATTTTTTTCGAAGAGCTGCCGAAGGTAATTCTCTGAAGCCACACTGCCCAGGATCTCAATATTCAGAGCAGTAAAGACTAAGGCATTGGGACACTAAGTCTCTTACTCTAACGGATACCAGAAGAGCTTTAATACTGTGTGGGCCTTGCAGTTGAAAATAAAATAAGTCAATAGCCTCTTGCCTTGGCCAGGTGCCCATGGCACATTGTAGTGGGTAAGGCAGCCTCAGGAGTGGGATCCCACCATGAGTGCTGCGAGGCACCCATGTCTTCTGCTGATGTATCCAATGGCTAGACTTCTCAAACTTTTGGGAGACCTTAGGGATCATCTCTCTTAATTTCCACATTTCCCTCAAAAGAGGAAATTGGACTATTTGGGCCTGTTTATGGCTAGAGTCAGAAGACTCAGATATTCCTGATGGAATAGAAGAGCACTGACCTTGGCATCAGGGCACGCTAGTGGACATGCCACCTCCACCTCCCACTGACTAGTGGACCACGCCCAGTGATGTCAGCTTTGTGGCACAGAGGCCCATCATCGCTGATGAAAAGTTCAGATGTGATAAATTACTCAGCAGTGATTTGCTGGACAGAATGTGCTATTGAGTTTTAACATATGATTTTTGTCCCATAATTTTCCATGCAGCCCTCTGCTTGGCCACTTCCAAGTTTTCACAGTGACAAGTTAGAAGGGAAAAAAAATGAGTACACATTCTCTTTCAAGTCAGTGAAGTTGGTGAACAAGAGAGCCTGGATTCCATGCAAGCTCTCAGCTCAGCTGCTATAACTGGGACAGTTTGTTGAAGGGGTAACATATGGTAGAGCAGTCTAGGGGCGACTTCCAAATTAGCCCTTTCTAATAGAAAATAAGGAGTCAAAATGACCCTGGTGACCAAGAGGAAGTGCTGAAAGCGCTGTTGACAGCAAGGGATGTGAAACGCAAAGCCACCAGCTGCCACACGCCTTCTGCTGGTGTCCCAAAGAAGGGCAGTGGCTGCCTTTTTTTTTTCTTTTCTTTTTCCACCCCCTCAAGAGAAAAGTGCTTAAATTGGTCACCCTCCCAAACCAAGCATAACCCAGTTCAATCCCTGGGACCTCCCTTGCCCCATGCTTCCCTCTACGCCTCCTCCCGCTCCGCTCCCCACTCTCCTCATCCCCACCTTCTCGCTCCCGTCCAGCTTCTCCCCAGCCACAGGTAGGTTATAAAGCGTTTCTCCAAACTGCAGATTTACTCCCCAGTAGTCGTTTGTTCAGTAGAGTCTTGGAGTTGCCCCCAGGGAAGACGAACAGCGGGATGAGGAAGAGTTTATTCTCCCCAGCCTTTGATGTAAGAAAAATCAGTTTGAGATGATTTAAAAATCGTTCTGACTTATGCCATAACATTTTCCTTTCAGGGAGAGACTTTTCTCCCTCTCATGCCTCGTCTTGTGTTTACCTGCTTTCATGTGGTTCCTTTTTTGATGCTGAGAGGATGCTTGAAATAGAAAATCAAGTTGACTCAAAGCCTGTGGGATTAGCAGCCCCTGAAACCTTGAAAAGCTGACAAGAAAGGTCTGGAATAGCAAAGGCTCCAGAGATCTATCCTGAAAACTGGTTTTCCTAGCTGATTTTCATGCCCCCACTAGTCAAGTAAAAGATATGCTGCCTTTTACCAGATTCCAGTCATAGGTGGGGAGCAGTGCAGGATTGGAACCCTGGCAGCCCCTGCCCCTTCCGGTCCCAACCTAGGCGTAGAGGGAAGTGACACAATCTGGTATGAGTTACCTACAGCTTCGGATCTCATTTCCTTCATCGGTAAAATGGAATGATGTTCCCTGCCTTGAGCAGTGGCAGTCACACTCTAGGTGTCTGTAAAATGATAGCCAAGGTGGCATGCTTTTAAAAATAAAACTTAACTCAGTTCCATTTTTTTCCATCATTATTTTGTCCCTTTTTAAAATTGGGTATTTTTTTTCCTCTTCTCAGAGTTCCACAAATCCAGAACAAAGGTCAAAAGGTTGAATGTTTACGTCCCCCTAAAATTCCTATGTGAAACCTGATCTCCAATGTGATGATGTTTGGAGGTGGGGCCTTGGGGAGGAAATAGAAGCACAGAGAGATTAAGCACTTTGCACCCAGCAAGGTCACACAGCTCATTAAATGGCAGAGTCAGGATTTGAAGCCAGACTGACCGGCTCTAGGTCACATGTTCCGGACCTCCAGGCAGTGCTGTCTCTGCCATTGTTTATGATATGAACCCTCTTATAGCATTTCCCATGTGCCGGGCACTCTTCTCAGTACTTACATACCGTGTTAGTTTCCCATTGCTGCTGTAACAAGTTGCCACAAACATGACGGCTTAAAACAACACAAATTTATTATCTTACCATTTTAGAGATCAGGAGTCCAAAAAAGGTCTCGTTAGGCTAAAATCCAAGTGTCAACAAGGCTTCATCCCTTTCTGAAGGCTCTAAGGGAGAATCCATTTCCTTGCCTTTTCCAGCTTCTAGAGCCTTCCCATGTTCCTTGACTCTTGGCCCCTTCCTCCATCTCTAAAGCCACTGATGGTGGGTCATGTCCTTTCCACACGGCTTCACTCTTCTGCCTCCCTCTTTCACTTATAGGATGCTCATGATTACATGGGCCCACCTAGATAATCCAGGATAATCTCCCCATCTGAAGGTCAGCTGATGAGCGACCTTAATTCTATCTGAAACCTCAGTTCCTCCCACCACATAATCTAACATATTCATAGGTTCCAGAGATTAAGATCTGGACATCTTGGGAGGGCATTATTCTGCCTACCACACATACATACTCTAGGTCACCTAATCTACACAGGAAGCTAAGATGTGGATACTATTAGGACCACGTTGCAGGGGAGGATATTGAGTCATGAGATGTTGGGTGCGTTGTCCAAGTCACACAGCCAATAGTCAGAGACCTAGGGTTCTACAGGGGTCCAGCTCTACACTGTGTGTCCTTAACCATGGTTTAACCCCCATGCTAAGAAAACAAGAGTGCCAGCCATCTCAAAGAAAATCAGTAACATGGAGATATTCATGGTCCCAGGTGACCATAGCGCCTGGCTTGCCTGGGACAACCCTGGTTTGTACCTCTTGCCCCATTTTACTCCCAGAAAGTGCTCTGGTGGTTGGTGAATATTAATGTCACCTTCCCAAGGCTGACGGAAATCCAGTTATCCGTGCTCTTGGTGATTCTGAGCCCCAGTCCCCAAGTGGGAGTTGTCTCTAAGTAGGTGGACGACATCTGGAACCTCTTGTGGTTATAGGTTCTTCTCTACTCATAAGTGAATTTCAATCAACAATGACAGCTGTTTATAGAAGTAACTATTGTTGATAAGTTGTTTCTTTGGGGGGAGAAACGGTCTGATGACCGTTCCAAGCTTCTTTAAATTCTCTCCACTGTGGCTGCCAAGGGACCCTTGAGGAGCCAGCAGCTGAATGCATCCAAAGAGAAATGTGTACGTGGAGATTGATTGCCTTTCTGGGTGGAGGAGAGCTTGTTAGTTTTTATTCATTCCTCCTCTGTTTCCTCTTTTTTTTTTTTTGGGTTCTCCAGACCGTTGAAAACTGTGTGTGCATCTTAAGGAACCTCTCGTACCGGCTGGCAGCAGAAACGTCTCAGGGACAGCACATGGGCACAGATGAGCTTGACGGGCTGCTCTGTGGTGAGGCCAATGGCAAAGACACAGAGAGCTCCGGGTGCTGGGGCAAGAAGAAGAAGAAAAAGAAATCCCAAGATCAGGTGATGCGGGCGACTCGCAGCTGCATGCAATTATCCCCTTCCCTAATGACAGCATTAATATCTCGTCTGTATATATAGGTACAGGGCTCTGCATTTTCAACGCGCGGTAAAATCACTCACGCATCTGCACAGCTTTCCTGTGGGAATTGCACAGCTGAGACGGTGGAAAATTAAGTGACTCCCCCCATGTCCCGCAGCTGAGCCAAGATAGGAAATTTCCAAAAGAGAAAGAGCCACTTGAGTCCCGGGCAAGCTGTAAGGTACCAGCTGGTAGAGTCGAGTCAGAGCCGGTTGCTGCTTCTTCTGTGGGTTGATTCACACGTTTATCGAGGTCCTTGTGGGGTTCAGGTGGGGTGCCTTGCAGGTCATGCAGGTGCACAGAATAGGTGTTGTCTAAGAAGGAAAGCCGAGGAGAGATGCACAAAAATCCAACATGTATTTTATGGCACATTTTGAAATGTTTGAATATGCAGTCTTGCACTTATTGTTGGAAATAGGAGTAGCAGTCTGAGAGTCACAGCCCTTCCAACAGAATGCCATTAGAAGCTTGGCCTTGGGGGACAATCTCGATGAATTCAGAAAGCTGTCCAGCTGAGGAGGCCTCTTCAGGATGGAAAGGACTTTACTTTGAGCAACTGTACATAGGTTACCCTGCAGGGAAGTAAAGGCCAACAGGCAGCGACTCTCAGCCTTGGCAGAATCAGAACAACCTCCACCCCTCTCCCCGGGAGCCTCTGGGAGGCAGAACCCCTCACCCACCGGACCCCCAGGGAAGGGAGTAAGGTAAAGAAGTGTTCATCCTGCCGCCGGCCAGAAACCCTGCCACTGAGGTTTTCCCGTCTCCCCTGGACACTTGTCACCCGTCCAGCCTTCCCCTGGACTCTGTGGTCGTGTGTCCAGCCTTCCCCTGGACACTGGACCTATCTCCAGCTGCTGAGGGTCATACAGACCCCAGGTCTGACTGTCCTCAGGAGTGGATGACTGAGAAAGAGGGACAGAGCCCACAACACTCTCTCTTGCCAGGTTTTTAATTCAAAGTAAAAATGCAAAAGTATCTGTTTAGATCATAGGACACTATTTTCTAAACTGTGTTAGAAATAGTTTTACTTCAAGTAAGGGTTAAAGGAACTATTTTATTTAGAGTAAGGATTAATGGGAATGCATTCTTAAATACAATTTCTAAATTTAACTTGACTGCGTCAGTGTTAGCACTTTTTGTAGGTTCTGGCTTTCTAGCTGTTCGTTGCCCCTGAGGGCTGCCCCAGATACTTCTACAACATTTAGATCTGTCTGTTCCTGCTTAAACATGCCTGTAATTTAGGAGATCCATGCTCATTGCCTCTTTGATGGCGACCTCCCGCTCTGAGAACTAGATTCCCAGCCCTGCATTCTCTCCTGTTGTGAGTCTCCGCTCTGCGTCTCCTGTCCTCTCCCTGAATCTGAGTAGCCTTTTAAGAGGATTGAGCTGTGGTTCTTAATTTAGCCACTTAAAACCATCCCACCAGGGGAATGTAGTGGTCAGCCAGCAGGTATTTATTGAACCTGCTACGTGCCAGGCATTATACTAAGTGATGTCAGATAACTCAGGTTTCCTACCCAGTACTTAAGGGGGCCAAACCATTGTGGGTTCTGCACATTTTCAATATCAAATAAATTAAACATGGCCTAACAAAGGTATAATGGGTTCTTCTCATGGTTTCGTTTTGCAGCATAAATATACCATGGGGCCCTGTCCCTACACTGATTTATCCTGGGAAATGAGCCAGCATAATGAAGGTTGAGAAGAAGAACAACATTTGGGCAGGAATACAGTGCTTTCCAATCTGCCCAATCATAATCCCCTGGTCTCACCCCCCACCTAAGGACTCAGAACCTCCTGGATGGGCCCCAGGCCACTTTGGAAGACAGATTTGGAAATTGCATCTATACAACATTAGCCTTGGCTACAACACTTTAAGCTGAGATTGAATTCACTCTGATTTCAAGGTTTTCTCTCCAATCTGTTGCTCAGATTCTGAAACACATCCTTCTGATGGCCCCTGTGCCTCTCACTGATGTCTCATTTTGTAAGATTCTGCTCTAAACCCTTTCTCCAACTCTGCCAAGGTGCACTCATGTGGCTTGAAGTCTTCCAAGTTCCAGGTGAGATGAGGGGTGATTGGGTCCAGAGAAGTCAGGGGTCAGAAGAGAAGATTCATGAACTTCACCCCAAGATATAGGCCTTCTTTCATGGTGTTAGCTGCCTCCTTGAAACTTTCTGGTGAGAGGTTTTCCAGGCTTAGAACACTGTACTTTGAACCATATTTTATGACTTCGATGAGCTCTTTCTTAAGTTGAGTAAGATGAAGTGATTAATAGCATTTTATGATTTTTGCCAAAGTCTTAATGAAAATTTATATGGTTCATTTGTCCCATTTCTTTTACAGTATTCTTTAAGGGGAAAATAAAAAGAATTTCTTTAAGAAAGTTTTGCTGAAGCTACCATGAGTTAAAACACAATTGAATGTTGTTGTTTATAAAGAAACTTCAAAGTTATGATTTCAACCAAATGACAGTTTTTTAAAAAGTGTTTTAACTGGGCTCTCATATAGTACAAAAATATTCTGAAGTGCCAAAAAATTCACTATCAAGCTTATTAAGGATGTAAACAGATAACAATTAACGCTTGTTCGAAAAGCTATTTAGTATGTTTTGTCAAGTTCAAAATATTTAAGTCAAAATATTTAAAAGTCAAAAAAGTCAAGATATTCAAAATATCTTGCATTTGAAGACTGATAGAAGGGAGGCAAAGCTGAAAGGCCTGGAGGCAGAAGGGAGAACAAAGTTGGAATATAAGATGAAATGAAGAAGAGGAGGAACAGGAAGGCACCACCAATCCAGTGGGCCTCCTGGCTTGGCGGTCAGTCCCAGGGAGATAACTGAGTTAAGATGGCACCACCTGCTGGGAAAGATGGGCATCTGAGCCAGCCCATCCCTGGGGTCTCAGCAGGGAAAAAGTGCTTCACCCTGAGGATTTCCTTAAGTACTTTGCTTCTGAGGAAAGCAGGCTGCCAGTCCAAGGAGTCTAAAGGATTTCAAGTCCTCAAGTGAGAGGAGGAGCCAAGACCCTACTGTAAACAGGTTGCAGCAAGGTGAGAAATGTTCCTGGACCTCTCTAGGACAAAGCATCCCCATCTCTGCTAACACCAGAACAACAGGTTACCTTCCGAGCCTACAAACTGACTTAACTCATCTAGAAGCTTCCAGAGAGTTCTAGGTTTATAGCTTTAAAAATGGTCAGATATCATCCTTCCCCTGGAATTGCTCATAAAGTCAGGTTTTTAAAGAAATTGTAGTGATTAGAGAAAATATATAATACAAAGTAAAGTGAAGAAAGAAATATAAAAACAGGTGTGTATATAGATACAGATAGAATGTAGATAAAACCTGGCCAGTTTTGTAAAATATGTGTCATATGCAAATATAAAATATATGCATATATAAAAATGTATGTGTTTCTAGAAAAAGCGAGGTAACATCAAAGACAGAAGATGATTCATTTTTTGTATTTATGTATTTACAGATTTTCTACAAGGGACATGCATTTGTAATCTTTTCAAATGCCATTTAGAAAATAATATTCAAAAAGGCACTAAGTCAATGTTTGCTTATAAAAATGTATGTTTTCTTCTCTTAAATGTAAGATGCCTCTGAGAAAGGCATAACGAGCAGTGTAAAATGAAAAGATCTAATCCACAACAGATACTTCCCAGGACAGAGGAACCAAAGAGTTTACCAGGAGAAACGTGAGGCTCTTCACATCTACAGTCCAGGAGCAGAAATGGGGCAAAGAAGACCAGGGGGCGGGCGGTGCTCTTTCCTTTAGGGCCCACCCAAAAAGTCACACACATCTGTTGCTCACACCCCTTTGCTCTGAATGGGTCACGTTAGCATTTGTGCTGCAAGGGAGGCTGGGAAATGCAGTGTTTTTGTGGGGCAACCAAGACCCTAGGTGAACTTTGGACATTTTCTTAGCTAAAGGAAAAAAGGGTGCACTGGCATTCTAAGGGGGTGCAGTAGGAGCTCTCGGTCCCTGGAGGGGGGATAGTTTATCACTGAAATTGTTTAGAATCGTCTGCACATAGTAGTTAAAAGAAGACTGACTTTTATTCATCTCACTGTTTGGAAATTCTCTGCAAACAGTGCAGCACCTGCTTACCTGCACCCAGGTGACTGCACCCACTGCCCGCCTTGGCACAGCACTGTAGGGAAGAACAGGTGTGGGCACATTGCCCACTCTGCCTCACTCTGCACGCTGTTGTACACAGTTATTATCTCTTGACTCAGCATGACCTCTTTTCTTGGCAGTAAATAGTCGTTTACACTGGAATGTGGAAGGGCTACCAAGAATTCCATTGTAAGGGTATACTGTGATGTGTGAACAATATCAATTATCAGAAAATTAGGTTGCTTCCAAATTTTAACTAATGTAAATTGTAGTAAACATCTGTGCAGTTAAATCTCCCCTACGTCCTTAATCACGTTGCAAGGATGAATTCATAGAAGTGAAATATCTAGACCAGAAGAATGTTTTTCAAGCTTTGGATACATAAGCCAAAATGTATCTTAATCACCCTAGATGCTGATGACAGTTTAAGCACATTTTAATTTGATTTATTATCACTTGATGGATCTGCCCTTTATTATTCTTGATGCTTTTGAGTTCTCATTTCCTAATATCACAGCTTGTTTTTCTTTCTTCCAGACAGTTTTCATTTTCTTAATAGTAACCATACTTTTTCTTTTGCTGGTTAGTACCATTTCCTTTCTAACCATCTGCTTATTTCAGCTGCCGTTCGTTCCTCACAGCTGATTCCGGTATAGTCTCCCTCTGCCTTCACCTCACCATATGCCAGGAGCTTGGTGACTCAAGACATGCTATTTACTGTCCTCAAAGCAATAAATCACGTGAGCCTGCAATGATCACGGCTGCACATTTTTATGTAATGACTCTCCTTTGC